CGGTTTGGCTGAGGCCGCCGGCTTGTGGTGTTGTTAGCAGGCTTGTGGTGCACGCGCTGGTGATTGCATTCACTGCGCTGCCATGGGGCGCATTATCCAGAGGGCTGATGGGAGAGATTGGGAGACGAAACCTGGGCCATCTCCTGTGGAGCCAAACCATTTGGCAAAGGTGGAAATGGAGCTGAACTCTGTGGGTCTGTTCAGATCCTGGAAAACGGGAAACAAATCCTGCTGGAGCTTCTTCAGTCATCACACCACGTCTCATCTGGTCCTCAGCTCTGCCTTTGTCTCAGGTTTATTCTTTAAAACGCTGATTATTATAACTGCTGTGCTTTATTTTATAGGAACAATTTCATCTTTCATTATTGAACGACCAACACTAAACCAAATAATCACATGGAGGTTCAGGTCCGTCATTTAGCAGTAAAGTAAAATACATCAATTTTTAAACATTTTATCCCATGTTTAGATTTCACAGTCCAACTTCTACATTTTCACCTTAAGAATAGAAATTCATTTTTCAGTCAAAGCAACACTTCGTCTCAGGACGTTCCCCGGTTCTACTGGACCCAAAGCATCAGCGTCAGATTTTAGTGTTGGAGGATTTCTCTTTAGGCTAAAGACCAGGAGCCATTTCTGCTGCTAGCGCTAGGCTAGCACGTTAGCGTTGGTTGTATTTACCCAGAATGCCCTGCTCTGCAGTCCACTTCCTGCTTTTGGAGCGGTCTCACATTCAAACCGAACCAGAGTTCACTTCAACCGAACCCAAACCGAGGTCTGGAGGACCAGAGGTCAGAGGTCGACTAGCATTCACACCTCACCAACCAAACCAGACTTTGACTAGGCAAACGGACCGGAGTCAGATTAAAACAGGTCAAACATGGCTGGTGTGACTGCATCCCATGATACTGCTTTGTGATTGGCTGATTTGCTATTTCTGCTAACGAGCAATTAACCCTGAAGTAACTCATGTAGAGAGCAGGAGATGGAAAAACCACAAAACGTCTAAAATTCATCAAAGTGACGATTTCCTGCGTTTAAAGCAGCAGAGATGGCGGATGGCGGACGCCACGCGCCGGGATCAGCTGACCATCTTCGGTCGTCTTTCTGAGCCGAAGCGCAGATGAACTACAGGAAAACAGGCAAACATGCTTTGCTTTGGGAGTTGGCGGGTTTCTCCCCTCGCTCTCCTCCGTATGATATGTTTACCAAATACCTGTTTAGAATGCGGCGGTGGCAGCGCCGCGCTCCCTTCAAGTCCCCGAGGATGCTCAGCAGTAAATGGCGGTATTATTTGTCAGCTCTGGCAGTGTCTTGAGGCTGCTTCAGAGAGATACAAGGAGGCAACTGATAAGGAGAGCATCAGAAGGGCAGTTAATTGCCTCCAGTCTCCGGGAGCTGGGGAATATTTAAAATCTATGGGATTAAAGACAGATTAAAAACTGCAGAAGCAGTGGGCCCAATGGCGCTTAAAGATTGCAATCAGCAAGGGTAATGGCGGAGAAGAAGGAGGAGAGAGAGAGAGAGAGGGAGGGAGGGAGGGAGTGAAAAAGTGAACGAATGCTGCGGCAGAAGGTGGGAAAAAAATGACAGATAGGAAATTCAGATCCGCTCCTAATGCCCAGGGTTCCATCTTGTAAGCACGATTCATCTACGTGTAAATCGTTTTTTTCCTGCGTCTTTTCTTCTCCCCCCACTCCTCCGCTGCTCATCCCAGGCCTGCTTTGCTAGCGTAGCCGCCGCCGCCTCTCTGGCGCTTTGCTAGGCGGCCTTATCAGCCCATCTGTGAATTAAAAGCGCTGCTCCCTGTGAGGATTAAGGGGCTGATTGAAGACGGCACGAAAACTAACTAATAAGTCGAAAATGTCAGGAGGGCACTCTATGGAAACTGTGTACTTTTCTAATAAAGCTGACGAACAGAGTGCAGCCGCTGAGTAAGGAGGGAGCGGAAAGTCAAACCCAGAACTCATGTGGTTCTGGTCTCACCGCGTCAGGCTGACAACCATCAGGAAAAACAGCCAATGGCAGCAACTTCTGCCCTAATCTGGAGAACCCCCCCACCCTGCAGGATTATTAGCAGCACAGCTCCACGTTAGCGATAGCTGCAGTGCTATCATTAGCGATATTAATGACATCAGGAGCTTATCGGGGATCTGAAGGCATCACAAATTACAGAAGAAAGAGAAACACGGGCCACATGCGCTGATATGTCTCTGTTTGGGTTAAAGAGGACAAGATGTGCCCAATCCTGGATTGTTTCCCCACCTTATCAGAAGCCCACTCACTTAATCCTGTTAATTACTACATGAGATACTTAAGGTATCGTCGCCACAATCAGCCGTTCGCTTTGCATATCAGCAAAAAATCTGCGGCGTTTTTTTCCTTCATAATCCATTTTTACTCGTCTTCCTCCTCTCTCCCACACTTCCTCTCCTCTCTGTCTGCAGTCTTTCATTGAAAGATTAGCCTTATAAATTATGCATTGGTGGGTAGTGGGGGTAATCCGAGGCAGAGATAGAATCGGCCAAGTGTTGAAGGGGCATCGGAGGCAGCGCCACCGTCATAAATATGAAACAGATGTTGGGTGACATTTTAAAAAAGTGAATCCAATCCGCTCCTCTGCTGCGTCTGGTGTTTTCATACGCAGAGAGGAACCTGACATCCCCCTCTCCCTCAGTCTCCCTTACTCACCATTTCTCTCCACTCTTCCCTCTTTTTTCTCCGTAATCCTGTGGAACCAGTGATGCATAGATTATATTCTCCCTTTATGCAGCATGTGTCCTATTGGAGCCAAGAAAAGCCTCCAAATGCCACTTCCATCTGAAATGGCATCTAATCTGCCCTGATTAAAGTCTATTTTAAATTCTCTGGGACGGAGAAATTAAATGATGCTTTAAGGAAGTGTTGGCATGCAGACTGTGAGGTTATGTAGATGTGAGATGCTTCAGATATGGAGAGATGTTCTGATTGCACATTCAGAGAAGAACAAAGCTGTGCCGATGTTTGGTGGTGCCGTAAAGCGTCGCGCAGCGCTGCGATTGTTCTGCGGCTGGCAGCGGCCCGGCGGACTCTGCGCCGGTTTCTTTTCATGGCAGAGACGCCGTCTCATCGTCCCGCTCATCCCGCTTTGTCTCGTCTCCTCTCCACTCCTGCAGCGGCCTCGGCTCTATTCTGCCGCTCCGCACGCAGGATCCTGTTGTTGTGCTGCATTGTGGGTTTTGTTTGGTGCTAGAAAACCAAGATAATGGCGGTTGGAACAGCTCTCAACCCTTTTGTTTGCGTCTTTCTCATCTTGCATTTGTCTTTCTTGCTTAGGCTGGAAAAAAGAATAAAAACCAAAGGATTCAAAGGTTTTTATCAGGCTGGGGATCAAGGTTTTGGCTACAATTATGTGCATTTTGTAACCATTAAATTGATTTTTGACTGATTGTCTCCAGCTTCACAAAATCTTCCTGTTTAAATCTTTTAATGATTTATTTCAACTGGTTTCCATCCAGGGTGGTTTAGAAACCAGTTTAATGTCGTCATGGACAGAGACGAGAAGCAACCTGGAACTAAAGCAGAGGCTTAAGAACCCAACATCATGGTGGTGGCAGAGTCATGCTGTGGGATTTTTGGTCTACACTTTGTGTTTTTGTCATTGGGAGGAATTTAAATCTTGTTTCTGTTTCTCTACGTTTTGTTTTCTTTGACTTGTGTGGAAAATTTAAAAATGACAGAAACATAAAATAATCCACAACATTTATAACTCAGAACAAACCTCCTAAATGTTGATCCCCGACCATCATACCTCCCTCTCCGTGTCCGTACAGCACAAACAGCTGCGCTCAGCTAAACGATCCAGGAACATTTTCCACTTTTTATCTGAAAAACAAAACGTTTTGCTTCTTTTCAAATTTAAAGTTATATTCTGTTGTCTTTTACTGACATAAATCTCCTTCATGTTGTTGAAAAGTTAGAAACTCAACAGAAACGTTTGTAAGATGTTGAGTTTTTCAGTGTGAAGAGAAAACGAGAGGAAGAGGAGCTGAACGCTTTCAGAGAGGAGGTGATGAAGAGTGTGATAGAGGATGATGGCTGCGGGGGGGGGGCTGCCCGGCCGTCAGTCAAACTGGGATGAGGAGGCCTTATCTCCTTCACACACGTGACCCCTAACCTCTCCCCCTCCGCCCCGGCTGCCATCCATCCTCTCCGTCGCTTCACCTCCAGCTTTCTTTCGCTGCTGAAATATTTCACTTCAAGAGGAAACGGGGAAATTTGAAAATCTTTGTAGTGAAAATCGATGATTTGGAGCCGTTTTCCTTTTCAAGGCAGCAGTGAGCCGAGGAGAGCTGCTTCTCTGCTGCAGGGAAACGATAATAACTGAAAAATGGAGGCATGTGGCAGCGGGCTGGACGGACGATTTATTGATCACAGATCGGAGAACTTTGGTGGGCGGGATTCGTTTTGATGTTTCAGGAAAATCTGATTTCATCACCGAGCTGCAGCTTTGATAACATAAAACCATTTATGATTAATGTGAATGGAGCGATCATGAAGCCGGGCCGAACCAGAACTTTGTCAGGATATTTCAGAACCAACCAGCTGAATGAAACGCCTCTGGTTCTGTTGAGCGATCAGCCGGCCCAAACCCACAGGCTGTTCACGATGCATTCAGGCTCACCGGGTTATACAGGAACAAAAACTATTCAGCACAGATTTAAAAAGGAAATTTTAACTTGTTTTTATTCTCAAATGTCTGAACTGAGAGATTTTTCTCTTCACTGCATACCAGCTTTATTTATAAAGCACTTTAAAACAACCACAGTTGATACAAAGTGCTGTACAATTTAAAAACACAACATAATAAAAAAGTAATTAAAAACAGTTTAAAAACAAAAACATACAATTTAAAACTAGATCCCACTGGTGTTGAAAGCCAAGTAAAATAGATGGTTTTAAGACGAGCTTTAAAAGAAAACAGAAAACGAACCAGCTGAGAATTTCGTGTAACATTTGATCCTTATGGATGTATATTTTATATTTAATATCGAACAACGACACGTTTAGACTAAGGCTGATTTTATCAGATATAAACTCTAGTCGGATTTTATTTTGGGGAATCAGGAAATGCATGCCACACATTTTAGATATTTATGTTTAAAACACACATTAAAACATAAATAATAATTATTCATGGTTTGAACTGCTTTGTGTTGGTCTCTGTTATAAAATGCCACTTGGAGGTTTAACCAAACGTAGAGGAAATGTGTGCAGAACCAGCTGATCCAGAACCGGGCCGACGCTCCCAGGGAAACGGATCAGGCCACAAGCTGGAGCTCAAAACGCCGTCAGTCTGTCAACAGCAGCAGCTTGGTTCCTGAAAAGATCAGATAAATATAATAAAACTGGACGTCCAGAGAGAGAAAACGAGAAAAGCAAAGAGCTGAGAGTCATCAGTTTTATTTCCTCCGTTGCATTTCAACCCTCCTCTGATGTTCCTGATTGTTCCTGCAGTCAGAAAGTTTCCTCCTGTTTCTGCTTGTGGCTCCTCCAGCTTCACTGCATCAGACCTGATCATTATTTCTGCGTCTGCCAAAGAGAAGAAGTAAAACCTCGGTTTAATTTAGCTTCTGTCAGTCAAGTGGGTTGGAGGTTTTCTGCATTAAACCGCCTGCAGCGTCGGCTGTTTCTCTGGAGAAGTCGTTGCTCACACGCATGAGGCGCATTATCACCTGCACAGGTGAGGCGTGTCGCTCTGCTGGCTGTCCTGTCAGCAGTCGCTGCTTCCCAGCACACCGAGAGCCTGGAGGCACAAAACCTCCTCTGACTGCTTTACATGCCGTTTTCAACACTTTAAGAACTTTACTGTCATCCTGCTTTACTGCAGGACAGTAAAACCTGAGGACCACGACACAGATCTGTTTATAAGACTTCACGGATCAATTTGACTTTTAGTCTGTTTAAAGTATTTGAGAAAAGTGAAATCTCACCTTTCAAATTTTCTATCCATTAGTTTTGAAATCGGGGAACGTTCCACCAACATGCAGCATTTTTATTTTATTTAACTTTAAGCTGCAGTTTTTAACCTTCAAATAAAATATTTTTGACATTAGTTGAAGCTGTCACCACGTTGGAACAGTTTGATATGAGACAGATAATCTGAAAAAATCTGTTTTCTCCCAGCGCTCACCAGAACCAACCAATCAGAGCCAGGAGGTGGAGCTTAGCGCTGCCAATCACTCCCCTATGCTCTCTGCTACGCTTCAGCTAGCACAGCCGGTCATGAATGCTAAGGCTAGTTAGCATAGCTACCAACAGTTTAGTGTTTATCCACTAAACTGTGGGTCTGTTTAGTGGATAAAAATCTGGAACAATCTTGGTCCTCCAGGTCAGTTCCGGACCGGTCCAGTGGGTCGGTCCTCCAGGTCAGTTCTGGGCCGGGTCCAATGGGTCGGTCCTCCAGGTCAGTTCTGGGCCGATCCAGTTGGTCGGTCCTCCAGGTCAGTTCTGGGCCGGTCCAGTTGGTCGG